ATAGAGCTGGGTGTCATCTGCATATTGATGACAACCCAGCCCATAACTCCTGGCAATCTGGGCAAGGGGGCGCATGTAGATGTTAAACAACATCGGGGAGAACCCAACATCAGATAGAGCTGGGTGTCATCTGCATATTGATGACAACCCAGCCCATAACTCCTGGCAATCTGGGCGAGGGGGCGCATGTAGACGTTAAACAACATCGGGGAAAGCACCGCCCCCTAAGGCACACCACACTCAAGTGGGTGCCTCCGGGACTGCTGTTCCCCTAACGTCACCCTCTGTCCCCGACCTTGGAGAAAAGAGGCAAGCCATTGAAGAGCGAGCCCCTGTATCCCCACGTCAGCGAGACGGTGGGTCAGCAACTGGTGGTTGACCGTGTCAAACGCGGCCGACAGATCTAACAACAACAGTGCCGCCACATCGCCTCGATCCAGATGCCTCCGGAGGTCGTCAGTAAGAACAACCAGCGCTGTCTCCATCCCATATCCCAGGCGAAAGCCGGACTGGAGTGGGTCAAGGACAGAAGCGCCTTTCCTGCCTTTCCACGTATCTGGCTCAAGGCGGCTAACAACATTAAAATAGCATAAACAACCAAGTTAAAACAATTAATAAATACCATACCAATTAAAACAACACCAGTTGCAATTAACCCAACAGAAATGGCAGTATCCTCCATGCCCCCAGCAGTTGCCATGACTTCTAGGTGCATGCACACACATGCACATTAAAAAAATTTTAAATATATTTACCATGTGGATTTTATTGTAAACATCTGTTAAACCATCTTTCACAATCAGGTCTTCCAGCTTTACTCCTCCATAAGGTGTTGTTCCTCTGCTCATTGTATAGGGCACATTAGACATGCTCTCCATCCCACCAGCCACCATCACATCCTGTTCAGAAAGATTTTTACAATGTCTTATGAAACGTTTACCTTTCCAGAAGGAGGAGAAGAGTACAGGGGGAAAAAATACTTAAGATTTTAATAATGCTTTGGTACTGTCCTTCTTAAGGCAAAAAGTTACAATATGTCTCTTAAAAGTTGTTTTCCTGTTTGTTATACAAAACCTCGTGTTCGATAGTCTTTTAATACCTGAGTTTCCTGTAAGTTTTATGTATAACTTTCAATGTCATTCCAAGGAATAAGCTTATACTAAAATATCAATGCAGATGGGCAATCAGTGAACAGTACTAGTGTATGAAGCCAAGCACAGTGAATAGAATATCCCCTGCACATGTCCCATTTAAATGAACAGAAGCTGTGGGAGGACAGCATCCCTGTAAAGAGGCAAAAATAGGATGAAGAAGAAGAGAAGAAGAGATTGGATTTATACCCCGCCCTTCACTTGGAGTGGTGTAGTGGTTAAGTGTGCGGACTCTAATCTGGGAGAACCGGGTTTGATTCCCCACTCCTCCACTTGCACCTGCTGATGTGACCTTGGGTCAGTCACAAGCTCTGGCACAGTTGTCCTTGAAAAAGAGCAGTTTGTGTCAGAGTTCTCTCAGCCCCACCCACCTCACAGGGTGTCTGTTGTGGGGAGGGGAAGGGAAAGGAGTTTGTAAGCCGCTCTGAGACTCCAAGTGAAGGGCGGACTATAAATCCAATGTCTTCTTCTTCTTCTTCTTCATTAGTCTTATTTCAGAGACTACGTATTCGTAAGTCTTTTGAACACTTTATGACGATCCTACCTGATTCCCACACATCAGGTTCTGTGCTGCCATCATAACAGATTTCATTCCAGAAGCGCAAACCTTGTTGACAGTTGTGCAAGGAGTAGAAACTGGTAAACCTGGGCCAGATTAAGACAAATTACTATGGAAACGAACGACAGCTGATGACAAGCAAATGCAAATACTGAATTAACTGAGCTCTTTAATCAACTAAACACTTATGCCACAAAATCTCAACATACCCTCTTGGATTCCTGTTATAGATCACTTGTTTATTTCTCCTGTTCTCATATCGACTAGTATTAGCACTGAGACCATTCCTCAACTCTCAGGCAGTCCCTTCTATAGGCAACATTATACATTTTGGGATTTTTCTGCTTAGCTGCAAAAGAAATCTGCTCACAGCAAGTAGTTCTGGGAACATACCTGCTATACAGGCAAACTACAGAATAACCAACCATTTGAGCTCTGGTTATGGCATGAGAAGAAATCAGGCTTATTCAGAACACCCAGAGCTTGAATTTAAAATTTGCAATTAAACTATTAAGTATCTGTGGCCACATTTACCTTTTTTAGCATTTAAGCAGCAAATCTTGTTTAGAACTTTTTTCTGCACTACAGAAAAGAGTGTCTTGAATTTTGCTGATTCATGGACATGTTTAATAAGGCAAAAGAAACATTACTTATTAAGTCATTGAACCTGGGAGGGGCTCTGGCTCAGTGGCAGAGCATCTGCTTGGCATGCAGAACGTCCCACGTTCAATCCCTGACATCTCCAGCTGAAAGGATCAAGTAGGAGGTGATGTGGAAGACCTCAGCCTGAAACCCTGGAGAGCCACTGCCAGTCAGAGTAGACAATATTGACTTTGATGGACCGGTATAGGAAATCTTTATGTGTTCATTTAAAACTATATGTGCTCAGTTGTACCGATTTAGGTCTTAATCCCCAACACGGTGCCCATGTGCCAGTGAGCTTCCTTGCACCTCTTTGTTTCTTTGACATAGCACCTCGTCCCCCAAAATAAAAGGCCAGTCCTGGCTTGCCCTACCACCTCACTGGAGCAAAAAGAAAAAGCAGGAAATGTCACCTTCAGGATTACAGGGATCACCTATTCAAGTACAGTTGCCTCCATTGTAGAAGGATGTGTGGCATATAAGGTCACGACACCTTGTGATGCCCCCACGCAGCACTCCCAGTTCTCAAAATTCCAGCAATGCCCACAGACATAACAATTTTTTAAATAAATACCTGCACCAAGTGTTGCTTGTCTTGCAGGAGCTTGTCCTTGCCCAGCCTGGATAACATTACCCATGTATACTTCCTTCACTTCTTCTTTCGGGATGCCTGTGACAGAGACGGCATTTCTAACTATGAAGCTTTAACAGGCTTAGAGCATAATACATTCTGAGACATGGCACAAGGGAAATGCTACACTCTAGTGACCTATACACTAGATGTACATCTATATACCTTAATTGCTGCCACACAAATGCACCAAAATCTTCTGCTGATACAGATGTAGTACAAACAGTCCACTGGTTAACTTGCCCTAGCTTTATAGCAAAACGGTCAGTAGTGCTCATGACAAATACTCTGCAGTCCTGCTAAGACTGACACATCAAATGTCTCCATAGTTTCTATGTCACATTTAATTTAGGGTTATTATTAGGAAAGACACTGGACATTTTCTAACAACCCTGCTTCAGCTTCTTAACATAGTTGAGATCACTGGACTAATCTGTTTACTTACCTGCTCTTTCAATTGCTCCTTTAATAGCAACAGAGCCAAGAGCAGTGGCTGGTAGTGAGAAAAGAGATCCCTGAAAAGAGCCGATGGGTGTACGGGCAGCGCTTACAATGACTACGTCCTAACAAGCAAAAATATTGTCAGTGGTTCAGCGATTAATTCACATATGTTAAACTTTCCTCATAAAGCTGAGGCTTAATGACCGCTAAAGTCAGCAAACGTTTTATATTCAATGAATGCCTGATTAACATAATGCAGTAAGGATCTCAGAACTGGTACCAATTGCTTCAATTAAATAGGACATGTTATGCGACTGAACAACAACAACAACAAATTATATTTGCAGTCAGTGTGTCCCTCTAAGCTGAGTTAGTGTGAGCTAGCTCACAGTTTTTTTAGACTCCGGCTCACACATTTTTGTCTTAGCTCAGGAAGGATGGCTCCAGAGCAAGCTAATTTATGCAGTAGCCAAATCGCTCACTCACAACTTTAATGCCCGTAGCTCACAAAGTAGAATTTTTGCTCACAAGACTCCACAGCTTAGAGGGAGCATTGTTTGCAGGTAAAGCTAAGCATGATGGTGGGAATTCAATTAATAGAGCTGCCTGCAGTTTGTGTCTTTAAAATGCATGCATGGTAGGGTTGGAATTAAGCCTTCTCCCCCTGCACTGTCTTCCTGATCTGAAATGAGCTGCTCTTTGTCCCACCAGAGCAAACAGGTAGGTATGGAATCAGTAAGCGTATGTTTGCTCCATAGCGTTGCCAGCCTCCATATGGGGCCTGGGGAGCTCCTGCTTTTACAACTGATCTCCAGCTGACAGAGATCAGCTCCCCTGGAGAAAATGGCTGCTTTGAAGGGTGGACACTATGGCATTGTACCATGCTAAGGCTCCTCCCCTTCCCAAACCCCGCCTTCTCCTGGATCTACCCCCAAAGTCTCCCGGTATTTTCCAACCCAGACCTGGCAACCCTATTGCTCCATGGAGCAAACAGAAGGCCCCCAAACTAGTTTCAGATAGGTGTGAGAAGATACACATGTGGTCCTGAGCAGAATGGAGGGAACACATTGATTTTAAGGGAGAGAGAAAAATCACACTGGAAGCTCCTTTCACGGAACTTACTTCCATGTGCAGTTTAGCCCTTAGTATGGTTAATGTACAATTGACAGCAGTTACATAAACAATGGCTGCTTCCATGTGGGGATTTTTCCCACAAGATAAGAAGGCACCCCCCCCCCAGGAGAACATCCACCTGTCATACTCATTGCAACCACAACTTGTGGCATTCCCAGGTCTCTCCCTTTTAAACCAGCTCAAAGGAAATCCATGTAGTAACTGTGTGCAAATGTTTGTGTGGTATTCCATCGAATATTTGGATAGCATGAACTTCTGCACGAAACAAATGATTTCATCATATACGTATAGGAAACTAACAGCTCTGGATTTCAGCCTATCTTTATTTATTAGAATAAGTTCAAGTTTGTTCAAGTCCCCCCTTCTGAACAAATTTAAGCTTGCTGCTACAAAGGAATACAGCTTAACATAGATTCGCGTGGGTGGCTGTGTTCGTCTGAAGCAACAAAATAAAGTTTGTGTCCAATGGAACCTTTAAGACCAAGAAAGTGTAATTCTAGGTATAAGCTTTCATGTGCATGGTATCTGAAGAAGTGTGCATGCACACAAAACCGTATACCCAGAACTAAACACTGTTGGTCTTAAAGATACGACTGGACTCAAGCTTTGTTCTACAGCCTAATATAGCAGTTACAACGAGGCATCACAGCTAATACTTGACATCACACCACGTTTCATACTTACATTTAAAGCACGTTGTGATGAATAGCCCCGGCTTGCATACATCATTGCCTGAAAACAGAATTTTTAATTGTGTTGTTAATAGCTTTATGTACAGCATTATTCAGACTGACTGCAAAATTCTGGGGATTAGGCATTTTTCTACTTTAAATATTTTAACACCACTACAATATGTTCAGTAACACCATGAAGCCAAGGAAGTTTCTTTTTGCAACTGTACCTACTGTATTCATTCAGAAGTGAAGAGGTATAAAGAGGTAACATTTGGAATAATTTGTGAATAGTTCTGGCCAGTATGACCACAAAAATCCTGATGCTTAAAATACCTATTTGTGTCAGTTAATGGTGCAGCATTTCATCATGAACAAATAAGCACTGCTGAGTTGTCCAGTTTGCTTATTTAACCTTTTGATCCTATGAACTTTGGCCCACTTAGTGCTTTAGGTTAACAAACACTAGCACTGCCAAAAGCTGCCCAGTTTCTCTGTTTTAGTCTGTTTGGTTAGCTTTCCAACAGCAGCACAGCATTAAGACACTCCAGCAAGGCATCCTGAGTAAGCACATCAGATTTTTCCTATAAATCTCCTTTTTTTCAACTCCTGTGCTCAAACTACTGAAGAGGTGTGCCATGCAAGGAAAAGTTGTTGCTCCCCTATAGAAGGCATACTTTATGAGCAGTTCCTGATAGGCAAGGAATTATGAGACAAGGTGAAGCAGTACCTCAGGCAACACATTTTCCACACCAAATTAAATAACAGATTTGCCCTATAAAGTCACAATCACCAGAAGTTCTCCTATGCAACTATCAATTGAAGGCTTGTTGAAGGAATGTCCTTTGGATCGCAACCCTCCTTGTTTATTAGCAGTGGGACGGTGGAGGGAGTAGCATCAGAATTTTGTACCTGAGGAAGCAAATCTGCTGTGGCAATCTTGTCCAACAGACCTATGTACCTGTAAGAGCTCCACTAGGGGCAAATAAATATATAAAATCCTGCTCTTTTTATTGATTTAGAGAACATTTATGTTTCCTCTCCAGGAAACCTGCCAAAGGTGGTTTTTAAAATAAAATATAAACATTCTTAATTAAAACTCAGGACTATACATGCAACTGGACATGAGATATTGCAAGACATATTGTTACTAAACAACAACAACACGTGATAAAATCCATTAATGGGGGGAAAGGTTATCACATCAAAAACAGGCTAAAGTTTAAGCAGTACCCTCTCTTCGGTTTCTACCTTTACAAGGACTCAAAGAATCCTCCTGGCATTCCACTGGAGAAAGATATTTTCAAATGTTTGGTCTACACATGCAGCAAGGTGATACAGTAGACCAAGGAATTCCAGAGAGGTAGCAGCAAAAGAAGTCTTGCTGCATCTCAAAAATGAACTGCTTTGGGGAGCATATGTATGCTAATCCACAGCCCATACCAGACAAAGTCAGCAATAGCCCACAAAAAAGCCTTATTCTGCAAGAAGTCTAGATAGGCAGGTAAGTCTGCTGTAATAAAAATAAACAGGAGCCCTGTCTGTGGTATTTTAATGACTAACTTCCTCAAATGCAATGTATGGATCCTCACTATATAATAATTTTATGTTACCCAGTCAAATAACTAGCACAACTAGTGAATGATCTCTGTATATTTTCTGGTTAGATTTGAATTTTACATAATCATATTTCACCCTGCATTTCCTGCACTTCATAGGCCTTTGACCTTGGGAAGGGTCCATAGCTCAATGGTAGAGCAACTGTTTTGCATGCAAAAGACGCTAGTTTCAACTCCCAGCATCTCCATTAACAGGACCAGGTGATATGAAAGACTCTAGACTGAAGAACCACAGCCAGTCAGAGTAGACAATACCAACCTTGACAGATCAATTGGTCAGACTCAACATAAGGCAGCTTCACGTGTGCATGCAATTATATCTATTTATATCCCATTGTTCTCCCCAGGACCATGGTAGCAGACCAAAAGAGCAGAGGAAAGGAAACACAACTTGGGCACGATAATAAAGAATAAGCCAAGGGTCAAAGCCATGGAAGAATCCTCTCTACTGAGCACCTCTGCCTCACCTTACTGATGCATTTCTTAGCATACATGCAAAGAGACACAGCAGATCTGTAGGGGCTCATGGTTAGTCTGCGGCATCCAACCCATGTGCATAAGTGCAATAACAAACAATGAACTACTGTAACAACACATTCGCTGTGCCATAAATTGAAAACTATTTATTTGGAAAAGACCTTCACTGTCTAAGAAATAAATCCATCTTGCTGACAGAAATGTTTAGCTGCCCAGTTTTCAGTGTGAACTTGCTGTCTGTCTGTTTTTAAACCCCCCGCCCCCCAAAAAATAACCACGGTTTTTAAAGGCGCTTTTCTATTTTTAAAACATCACGGTGATGGGACTCTGGAGAATTGTTACAGGAGGAACCCCCTTTTTAAAATAAATGCCAATGGGGAGAGGGAGAAAGACAAACACACCGGGAATTTAAAAAAACCCAAAAACCCTTGCACGCTAACGACGTGGCTCTGCTTAAACTTGCTCCCCGACAGGTGAATTCATTCCGCGCAGGGGCGCGCACGCTCCTGCCACTTCCCACCCCGTGCGCACACACTCCTCCCTGCAGCCCGAAGTGGCACAGCCCACTCTACCACCTCAGACCTCCACCACCTCACTCTGCGTGCGCAGACCAGCCCCCCCCCTCCCCTCCTCCAAGGGTAGAACACCAGAGCGGGGCGGGTCTCGATGCTCGGCCTCCCCCACCCGCCGGTCAAGTCACCCGGGTGTGTGTGTGTGGAAGGACAACAGAAGGTGGCGGCCAAAGAACAGCAGCAGCGCCGAAGACCAGGAGCGGGACCCTTTCCCCCCCTCACCCGAAGCGCCTTCGGCACCTGCCGTCCGCCCATCATCTTCGCTCTCTCGCCGGCCTCAGCGCTCCCCAACGGACGCTAGAAAACCCTCCTCAGGAGGCACCGACAGACGGCCAAGCAGCGGAAGCGCCTCCGTCACCTTCAGCCGCGCGAGCCTCCGATGGACCCCGCCCCTTGGTTCAGCCAATAGGGTTTCACGAGCGACGCACGCGCCGCTAAAGCCATAGCCCCACAGAGTTTGAGGGACGGGAGGGGGCGAGGCAACCAGGGGATCATTCGATTGGATGGCAGAAGGGAAAGGGGGCGTGGTCACTAGAGAGCGACCGCTGTCGGAGCTCAGCAGAGCGGCAGGCGCTGAAGGTCTCCCGGTGGGAAGGGGCCGAGCTGGCGTCTGTGTAGCTGCCTGTATGGGATTGTAGATTCAGGCCGTGTTGGTCTGCAGCAATCGAACGAAGATTGAGTCCAGTGGCACCTTTAAGACCCACAAAAGTTTAATTCTGGGTATAAGCTTTCGTGTACATGCACATTCTATCTGAGGGAGCGTGCGTAGGAAAGCTTATATCCAGAATTAAACTTTGTTGGCCTTAAAGGTGCCACTGGACTTTGTTGGCTGGGATTGTGTGAGCGTGGGGAGATAGGTGGAAGAGGCTACAGTTTGTGGATGGGGATGTCATCCCCACACAAACATCCAGTTTGGGTCGGGAGAAGAAACACATTCTGTTCTTGAATATCACAAATACACAAAGGTAAAGCAGAGTCTCAGTTTTAAAAAGTTCCCCTATGTGATCAGGATTTAGGGAATCCAAGATTGGGACTGATTTAGGCACAAAACATGGGAAAGAATTGACAGCATGGTGAAATGTACTTTTTAGTTCATTTCAATATTTAGTTCAATAGGAATTATTCTTATGAATGTTTAATCAGAACTGGATTAAGCATTTTCGTTGTGTGAGGACCCAGAAGGGCTTCTTTATAATGGAATAGGATTGTAGTCCATTGCAACTGCTTTTATGGTACTGTTTTACATCTTGTAATACAGGTGGGTAGCTGTGTTGCTCTGAAGCAATAGAACAGGGAGCAAGGAAACTGTTTAGATCCATTAATTAACCTACCCTGTTTGGTATAGTGGTTAAGTGCACGGACTCTAATCTGGGAGAACCGGGTTTGATTCCCCACTCTTCCACTTGCACCTGCTGGATGACCTTGGGCAAGCCATAGTTCTGGCACAGCTGTTCTTGAAAAAGAGCAGTTTCTGTCAGAGCTCTCTCAGCCCCACCTTCTTCACAGGGTGTCTGTTGTGGGGGGGGGGAGGGAAATGAGTTTGTAAGCCGCTCTGAGACTCCCTTGGGTAGAGAAGGGCGGGGTATAAATCCAGTCTCTTCTTCTTCTTCTGTTTTGGTAGCTAGTGCAGAACCGGCTGCTGAAAAGTAAAATAAACACAATATCCAGCAGGTGAAGAAGAGTATGTGTGTTAAGTGCCATCAAGTTGCTTCCAACTTATGGTGAGCCTACGAATTAATGACCTCTAAAATGTCCTATCATTAACAGCCTTTGTTCAGGCCTTGCTGAGGGCTGTCGCTTCCTTGATTAAGTCAACCCATCTCATGTTGGGTCTTCCTCTTTTCCTGCTGCCTTCAACTTTTCCTAACATTGTCTTTTCCAGTGACTCTTTTGTTGTTCAGTCGCACAGTCGAGTCCGACTCTTCGCGACCCCATGGACTAGATCCCGCCAGGCCCTCCTGTCTTCCGCTGTCCTCTGAAGTTTGCTCAGTTTCATGTTCGTTGCATCTCTGACACTGTCTAACCATCTCATCCTTTGCCGTCCCCGTCTTCTTTGACCTTCGATCTTTCCCAGCATCAGGGTCTTCTCCAGTGAGTGCTCCCTTCTCATTTGGTGGCCAAAGTATTTGAGCTTCAGTTTCATTATCTGGCCTTCCAGGGAACAGTCAGGGTTGATTTCTTTGAGGACTGACTGATTTGATCTTCTTGCAGTCCAAGGGACTCTCAAGAGTCTTCTCCAGCACCATAGTTCAAAAGAATCTATTCTTCGGCGCTCGGCCTTCCTTATAGTCCAACTCTCGCAGCCATACATGACTACTGGGAATACCATTGCTTTGACCATGCGGATTTTTGTTGGCAGGGTGATGTCTCTACTTTTTATCATGCTGTTTAGGTTCGCCATCGCTTTCCTCCCAAGTAGCAGGCATCTTTTAATTTCATGGCTGCAGTCACAGTCTGCGGTGATTTGGGATCCCAGGAACGTGAAGTCTGTCACTACTTCCATGACTTCCCCTTCTATTTGCCAAGGAGTGATGGGACCGGTTGCCATGATCTTAGTTTTTTTGATGTTGAGCTTCAAGCCCACTTTTGCGCTCACCTCTTTTACCCTGAGCAAGAGGCTCTTTAGGTCCTGTTCACTTTCTGCCATTAGAGTGGTATCGTCTGCATATCTGAGGTTGTTGATCTTTTCCCCAGCCATCTTAATTCCCACTTTATCTTCTCATAATTTGACCAAAGTACAATAGCCTCATTTTGGTAATTTCAGCTTCTAGGGAGAGTACAGGCTTGAGTCTTTAGGAACAAGGAACAGCATGTACATATTCAGGGAAGGGGAAGAATTGCACTCATGTGTTCCTTGGTGAGAACAGTGTGTTACTAATGTATGTGAGTTCATATTTGCTTCTGTTGAATCATTTTGCTCTACTCGTTTTAACAATCCTGAACGCAATACATATCTGTCATGAAGTTTAATTTTCAAACCAAATGGTATTGCAATTAAGTCCCCCAAATAGCAAATGTCCTATCGAAGCTCACTGAAGATGAAACCCACAAAATTAAATTTATATTCAGTGTGGACTGACCACCTCTATTCAGGAAGCAACATCATGTTAATATAGTTCTGTACTGTTTGGCTACCATCAGATTTCTGGATTTTAAAAAGCAAAAGATTTTTGGACCTGACCTAAAAAAGATTTTGGACCTGACCTAAAAAAAATTATTTTTAAGCAACTGAGGTATCAGGTTATTTATCCACATTTTCTATCTAATTGCTAGGAGTTTTATTGCTTAGAAGATAAGACTGTGAAGTCCTATGAATATGCTACATGCTGTAAAGAATTAGGCAATAAAACCAAAGTTCTTTGTACAAGATTAGTTTACAACAGGGCTATGTAAATGTTATTTTAGCAAACTTTCAAGAACACAGTAATCTGGGGTGAGGGCACAATGGCCATATGAGAAGTCTGTGAATTTCTACATGGAAACATTCTGTTGTAGAAAAGTGCATGAGACCACTGCATGTGTGTGTGTACCACAGACACACACATCATTAGATGCACTCTAGGCCTTGGGCTACCTGAATTATTATTCTTTTGAACAGCCCTCAAATGTAGTGGCTTGCATGACTCCCCTGAGCTTCAAAAGAGATTGGTCATGCAGTATGAACTGAGGATGCTGCTTCAGTGTTTTGGAGTATCAGTGTGATCACACTTACTTTACACAGGGGTATCCTCATTCCTGCAGTTCAGATCACATTTGACAATTCCCTGTTGTTCAGTCACACAGTCGAATCCAACTCTTCGCAACCCCATGGACCACATTACGCCAGGCTCTCCTGTCTTCTGTCATGCTCTGGAGTTTACTTAATTTCATTTTCGTTGCATCGATAACACTCTCTAACCATCTCATCCTTTGCTGTCCCCTTTTTCTTTGATCAGAATGCTATATATCAGCTCATATCAAGCCACCCTGAGCCTTTAGGGAGGGCGGGATACAAATCTAAAGAATAAATAAATAAATGTTTGTTGCATGAATAACTCTGTCTAACCATCTCATCCTTTGCCGTCCCCTTGTTCTTTGACCTTCAGTCTTCCCCAGCATCAGGGTCTTCTCCAGTGAGGGCTCCCTTCTCATTGGGTGGCCAAAGGATTGGAGCTTCAGCTTCAGGATCTGGCCTCCCAGGGAAGAGTTAGGGTTGATTTCCATTAGGATGGACTGATCTGATCTCCTGGCAGTCCAAGGGACTCTCAAGAGTTTTCTCCAGCACCATAATTCAAAAGCATCTATTCTTTGGCACTCGGCCTTCCTTATAGTCCAACTCTCGCAGCCATACATGACTACTGGGAATACCATTACTTTGACCATACGGACTTTTGTTGGCAGAGTGATGTCTCGATTTTTTATTATGCTGTCTAGGTTTGCCATCGCTTTCCTCCCAAGGAGCAGGCATCTTTTAGTTTCATGGCTGCAGTCACCACTGCCACTCCTTCCATGACTTCCCCTTCAACTTGCCAAGGAGTGATGGGGCCGGATGCCATGATCTTAGTTTTTTTTTATATTGAGTTTCAAGCCAACTTTTGCACTCTCCTCTTTCACCCTTAGCAACAGACTCTTCAGGTCCACTTTCTGCCATTAGAGTGGTATCGTCTGCATATCTGAGGTTGTTGATGTTTTCCCCAGCAATCTTAATTCCGGCTTGTGATTCATCCAGGCCAGTATTTCGTATGATATACTCTGCATATAAATTAAATAAGCAAGGTGACAATATACATCCTTGTCGTACTCCTTTCCCTATGCTAAACCAATCAGTTGTTCCATATTTGGTTCTAACTGTCGCTTCTTGACCCTTATACAGGTTTCTCAAGAGACATGTGAGGTGGTCTGGTACTCCCATCTCTTTAATTCCCTAGTATCACCTGTTTTGGTACAAGTTGTTGAACAGTGGAATTCTTCAAGAGAGTGCTTTTTATAGCCTTGTAATTTGTTGCACTATCTTGTTTTTATTGCATTTTAAAAAAACCTAACATCTCCACGCAATTTCTGCAGTTTATTGCATACTGTTTTTTATTGCATTGTTTTCTGATTTTGTAATAGGTGAGAAAGATGGACTGTAAAGCAAATGAAAAAAAACTTCTATACACAGGAAGGTGCAGATATTTTATTCTGTTTAACTGTTTTGTATGTATTATCATTATTACATCTGCTCAGTGTTTGTGGTTTCCAATACCATGAGAAACAGATTTCTGCCTGTAACTCCCCCACACACACACCAAGCAGTTGGGTGGAATTTGGACTGTACCCTCACTTGCCCACCAAATTTTATGCAGACAGGTCTAATTGTAAACAAAACTGGAGCACATCAGAGGTAAACCTTGCCTCTACCGATGTGTGCA